TCTGTCAGGTGTCTGTGGCTGCTCTGATCCTTCCCCTGCTTGGTCTCACCCAAGATGGTGGCTCTGGGAGCAGCTGAGCATCTTGAATTAGAAAACAATGGATTTCTTGCTTCTGTTACAAATTCCCTTAGCTGTAAGCCTTCCAACCTTCTAAATATTCCTTTATATGTGGTTCAGAGTTCTGGCACCATCCTCTGAGCCTGCTTGGTTTGGTACTCTGTATTGTTGCTGACAGAGCTCCTCACTTGCAGCTTAGGCTCTTATTCAACAATTCTGACACAAGTTGTTTAGTGACATTGGTTACATTCCTCACAGTTTGCAAACATTTTCATTGTGGTGGTTCCATTTCCTTTAATCTTTATAACAACTTTATGAGATAAGCACTATCATTGTTCCCAATTTACAGAAGGAAACAGACATACAAAGCTGAGTAGCTTTCAAAGGTGACACAGGTGAAGAGTGAGGAGAATCTGAATCCAGTCACTGTTTACTAGTAAGGTCAGCAGTTCAAGCTCACCAGCTGCTCCTTGGAAACCCTGTACATGGTTGTTTTGGATTAGAACCGACATGACAGCACTTAACAACTATGCTATGCTGTTCATAGGCTTGGTCAAGAATGTCTCTGGGCTCTGCCTGAGGGAAGTCTACGTAGAGCTCTGTGACAGCATCAACCTATCTCACCTTTACAGTAGCCTGGATTCGATTTCTAAGGAAATGTACCCTTAACAGAGCCGAGGTTAATGACTTTGGCAGAACGGTCTACTTCTATGATTCTCATCCAGGCTGCCTAAACTGAGGCCTTAACTTCAGAATATTCTTTGATAAGGAGGCTGGGAATTGGGTCTCTTTTTTTCTCTTCTAGTCCCTTCTCTTTGTCAGAGAAATCTTTTTCTCTGTTTTGAGCTCACAGTAATTTTCTCTGTCTCTTATTCATGCATGGGGACAATATGGCACCTATCAACCCCACTGTCTTCATGAGTAAAGTAACATCAGTGAATATCAGTGCCCCATAGAGGACTGACCCCTTGATGTTTTCATCATTAATCAGAAAACGCAGGCTTATAAAATTAGTCTTATAGCTAGAGGGGAAAGAATGTTCCTTTTGATTATGCAGTTTTGCACTTCATTAAGAGATACACCTCTGGTAACAGCATGGCCAGGCCAGGTATGCCTGAACAAAGACTCCTTCCTCTTACCCTCGTTTGCCTTTCCCATGAAATCCAGTGCATATCTTTCTCTGGTTTATACTAAAAAAACTGCTACATCTGAGTTCCCCTCTTTTCTCTCACCCATAACACACTTATGAGAGGATAGGGAGGTAAATAAACTTCTCATCCTTGGACAGGAGCCTTTTGAAGAAACCTGGTTTCTGATTAAACCCTACTCCACTTATGATCGTTCTGATTAATATGTCATTAATAAAGATCTGTGACCACATCAGTGTGTGTTAGTCATTCTAATCCAAAGAGCCATGCATGTATATTTTACTGTGAACATCAAAACAGCTTAGCTATCTATTTAAACCAAGTCAAATAAACACAGTATTCTCTTTACCTCTTTGAAGGGGCAAAAAAAATCATCTGAAGTCAGTCTGACTTTTAATGATGCAGAATTATTATTGATAATTTACATTTTGAAAAGTCACTAACTGCTGCATTTTATGACCTGTCTATTCTTCCTGAGATCAGAGTAGTCCAGGGGAAGAGTACATTGGTCATCCATATTCTCTAGACTCACCCAGAATGCCAAGATGTTCCTCTTCAGGGCCTCTCTCCTTTCGATTTGCAAAGGAAGCATCTGTATATTCACGATAAACCAGCTTTTTATAAGAGCCTCCAATTCTTGTAGCACCTTGTTCAAAAAATACCTCTGACTCACTGCCAAAATGAAAAGGGTTAAACAGTGGAGATGAAGTAGAATAGAAATCAGTTATTCATGTGGATTACTAAATGAAGACAAAAAATTTGACCAGTCTTAGAAATGATTACTATCCATGATTTCCAGTAATCTATAATGAATATATAAACAAAAGAGACAGTATTAGGCCACTTTTAGATGGAAGATCTATTAAGGAGTGAAGAATCATGGAATAAAGTTTTCATTTTTTTAAATGATGTGAAAAAATTTCAAGAGGGCTTATATCAACATCTGAAGTTGTTGTTGTTAAGTGCCATCAAGTCAGTTCCAACTCATAGCGACCCTGTTTAGAGTTTCAAAGGAGCATCTGGCGAGTTTGAACCACTGACCTTGTAATTCAAACTGACCCTGTGGTTCAGTGCATTATCCTGCAGTGCCACACTAGTTCTCCTAATAGTTAATAAATTATTCTATAATAGAATGTTTAAATCTTAACTGTGAAATGATTAAATAACAGTTAAAAAAAAGCAAAAACAAAACAGTTGAACAGTTGCCAATGAATCAACGCTGACAAGTCACCTGTGACTCGTGGCAGTTCCATACAGAGTTTTGTACCATTGTACCTGGGGTCACTGTGAATAGGGTTGAATGGACAGCAGCTAACAACAACAACAGAAAGAATAAGTAGAGTTAACAAGATGCAGTGTGTGTACATTAACTTGTGTGATGGGGAGGGCAATATACAGGAAAAGCAAGGTTGGCAGAAGAATGATAAGACAGGTGAAGACATGGAATAACAGTGTTCTGAGGGTAAATACATGGACAGAGATACAGATATATTATATATATATATATATAATATATCTCTTCCTCCCATACCTAGCCTGTCTGTCTCTCTCTATATATATATATCCACAAATATATAAGAATTTGAAAGGAGATAGTTATACATGGGTATTTGCCTTTCCTGCAAACATAACTAAAATGTGGTGGAAAGTACAGAAGACTGATAAAACTTCTTAGATATTATAGACTTTCTTATGGCAATGAGTTGCTGGGCTTGGGAGCTCAGGACCATAGTCTCAGGAAACACCATGAAAAATTGGCATATCATAGTTCAAAGATTATGTTTTACATGCTACTTTGTTGCGTACCATCTAGGGTCTTAAAAGCTCATGAGCAGAGAACAAACAAGATGGTGGAGAGGGTAGAAGTGCAGTGAGGAGTTCTGTCAGCAACAACACAGAATAGCAGACCAAGCAGGCTCTGGAGATGGTCCCAGAACTCTGAACCATATATAAAGGAATATTTAGAAAGTTAGAAGGCTTACAGCCAGTTGAATTTATAGCAGAAGCAAGAAATCCAGTGCTTTCTAATTCAAGGTGCTCAACTACTCCCTGAATGGCTATGTTGGGTGAGAAAGAACCAGGGAAGGATCAGAGCAGCCATGGATGCCTGACAGAACCACAGATATAAAGGTGTGGACGTTCTTTTTTATATATCTGTTTATTGGCCTCTTGCTGTCTGCGCATCTCAATTCTGATGATTTGAAGGGGCGCCTGAGTGATAGGACACTCCACCCCACCGTTGGAGGGTTCTATTATGCATGCACATAGATCTCTTCAAAATTTCAAGGGACAGTTTCTACATAAAACCAAACAGAAGCGAAAAACGGATGTTTTTCATTCAAGCTGGCCCTGAACTGTTTATCACTAGGAAAAAGACCTAAACAGGGCTGTGGAGCAGGACAGGCAGGCTAAAAAGGAAACAGGCTAAAAATTAAATCCTGAGTTATGTAATAACGACCAGCAGTGACATCTTGAAATTTCTCAGGAAGAAGAATGAAAAGGGAAGCCCATCTCTTGATCACATATACCTGGAGGCAATCAGAAAGCATAAAAAATACCAAAACTCACACCCATCATATTAAGGTCATCGCTAACCACTGAATATGCCCCCAAAACAGAAACAGACAACCATATCAGCACATATCAAGAAATGAGATAAAGTGACTAGACAAATGTGTTGGAGGTAGACCTACACTCCATACTGGAAGATGGGCAGGCTTTGGAAATGCCTGAGAAGGAATTCAGAAAAAATGATTATAAAATGTACCAATACACTTTACAATGGAGTTAAGAAAAATAAGGAAGAAGTCAGGAAAACATTATAGGAACAATTAAATAAGATAGATACAGCATTGGAAACAATTCAAAACCTACAGAAAGAGGTTCAAACAATTCATAATATAATATTAGAAATAGACAATACACTGAAAGGGCAAAGGAGTAGAACTGAAAAGATGGAAGCCAGAACAAGTGAGCTGAAAGCTAAATCTCTCAATATCACTAAGATAGAAGAACAAGCAGAAAAAAAGGATTACAAAATCTGAGGGAGGTCTAAGATGCATGTTGGATAACATGAAGAGGAATAACTTAAGAATTATCGCATTCCAGAACAGGAAGAATCACACAAGTCTACAGAAAAGATAGTTAAGAACTTCTGCAAGAAAAATTCCCTACGCCGCGGCATCCCCAGCAACTTTGGGCTTGTGGGGGCGGGGCGGGAACCAGCCCGCGCGGAGCCTCCAGGGCCTGAGAGACTCAAAAAGGGAGATCCACTGGTGACACCTACCCCAAGGGGGGATTTCTGCACATACAGTGGACAGAGGGAAGTTAGCTTAGGAGAGGAAGAGGGGGAAAAAATAAAAA